TTTTTTGTTTGCTCGTAGATTTATTATATATATTACACATTTCTGATTTGTCAGTACGGATATTAAATACAACCAAATCAAAGTTAATTTTTGAGAAGGTAATTATAAATTGTTTTCCATCAGCTCATTTTTGAACTAGTCTTCCTGCTTTTATTCCTTATTCAGAGTGAAAACAGGCAATGTAAAGCGGATCCTTAGGGAAGCTTTGAAGCAGAATTATACGAATGAAGAAATCAAGGATCTCCTTGCCAGACTGAAGGCAGAAGCAGTATGATGTGTTTTTTATGCACTAGCCCTATCAATTAAAGATTTATCAAATTCAATGTCCAGTTTATATAAATAAGGTGTACGCGTAAAGACCCGACCTTGTGATATTTTCAAATAGGATGAAGGAATGGTTTGAAATTCCAGAATCTAATAGAAAAGAGGCGTGTGCCTAAAACATGACTGTTCACCTAATATTAATAAAAAACCCTTTTATTCAATTACTTTTAGAAAGGTGTCAAATGGAAGATGTCTTACATAGAAAGTGTAATTCCAAATTTCTATACTATCTTTCCTAATGTTATATACTTTGTCTCGTTCTTTGGACTAACGATAAGACAGGGATAACCTACATCTATTCCAGAAACAACTCAGCACAGCGGTACTGGAAAGCACTGAAAATGATGGCATGGTGACCAACACTAAGAGTACCCTCAAGCAGATGGGCATTGCGAATCCAGGAACCATTCTGTACTCTGGGGAGGTCGGCAGTGGCAATGTCGTGCTGGGCATGGAAGGAGGTAGGTCCTTTCGGATCTTCTGAAATTATAGATAATACTTAAAACAAAGTTAATGCTTTTTTTACAGTGTACTCTGACATCACCAGCTCATAGACGTGGACACGTTTGGGAAATCAGCCATCTGGTCCTCACTCTTATAGTATTATATTTTCATGAAAGTAAGGCTATAATTAAATAAATATCTGTTGAAACCTGAAAATAAATAAATATCTTTTGAAATTAAATATATATCTTTTTGAGCATCTGAAACTGAGTTCTCTGTGATAATGCTGACGTATTTACTTTTAATTTGTGTTTTGAAGGACTGTGGATCCATTCTGCCTTTACTTGAAGTAACACATTATGTCCTCATATTTTGTTACTTATAAATAAGTGTCATATATTTCTGTTTCTAGGCGAGAAGATCATGAAGGTCCTGGGTCAGGTCACCGACATCCTGGGTCGCGGGGACCAGGCCTACACTGCGGGGAAAGGTCTGACTGGGAAAGGACTGGAGCTGCTTGGTGCTAAACTAGCCAACATGAGTATTGGGGAGATCATAGCCATGTTTGATGCCAAGAACATCGACCCTGAACTTGCTCTTCGACTGACGAGACAACTGAGAGATCTAGCTGTAGTGCTGGTAGGTATAATGAATCATGCATATTTTGCAGGGGGGGTCGCCATTTTACGCTTTTTCTAATTTGAGATTGGCATTTTAAAATTGCATGCAGATACGTTGAAGATATCTGAAGTCTGCGAAGTGTCATTCAAACGTTGAACTGAGAGTCTGTCCTGCTCATGGGCCATATTGAGTAGTAACAAACTTATAAAAGAGATTGCACGCATTAACATGTACACTGTTTCCCAAATATTGGACCATTTTAATCATTTGTATCTGATATTACATTGTTTTTAACAACGATCTGAGTGTGTAATATACCTTAAAAATGACAGCTTATTGAATACTCAGCTCTTCCTCAACTGGAATGTCTGATAACTTTGAAAAATGTGAACTCCTTGTGAAAACATGTCAGTGTCACAAGGTCTCATTGTTGCAATTCTGTTGTGATTTAGTACTGTGTTATTCCATGGGAACTGTATGACATATGGTCTTTTTCGCAACCGGTAATTGTTTTATTGGTTTTGCAGAAAAGGTAACTACTGACACATTATTTTGAGGAACTGTGAAGAAAAAATATAATATTCGTTTAGATTCTGTAACTGTTAATCTTCAACTTCACAGTATACGGACATCGTCAATGCCATCCTTAGCCGAGACGGGGTCAGTGAGTTCAGCTCATTTGATATAATCTTAAAAGGAGACTTCAGCTTACCAAGAAAAAGTATAACACTTTTCCAATTCAAAAAGAACTTCCTCGTTGGGGGTCTCGTACCAATGACATTTGGTAAGTTGAATGCATTTTGCTTACCTAATGTCAACGTTGACAGTTAACAAATCAGTTTAATACTTAACATATCATGATATACATCTTTATAAAATATATCCAAGAGTGTTTTGCCTGCGATTTGAGTCTTCAAATACAGTCCAGTGTCCACAACACTATATTCGGGAACTAAATATAGATCTACAAAGTAGCACGAGAACTAAATATAGACCTACAAAGTAGCAGGAGAACTACATATAGACCTACAAAGTAGCACGAGAACTAAATATAGACCTACAAAGTAGCACGGGAACTAAATATAGACCTACAAAGTAGCACATCAATGGTCAGGCGGTATCTCGTCAGCCATCCTGCCCAGCCGCTGAGGAAGAGCCAAGTGCCACTAATGAAAAGCATTGTCCAGCATCCGTACTGGGCGAATCACGATTACGTATGACATATGTGTGCTCATCCACGGTGCCATATTTCAGTGGTCCTTTGGTGCTGCTGGTAGTAGTCAAGCTGCTGTTACTGTCATCGCAGAAACTGCATTTGAGACATTCATTTTACTAAACTCAATGAAGATATGAAAACTCCCCGTAAAGCCTGTATCCCTCACACATACATGTACTACCAAATGAGAGCAGAATGATCGTATGATAAGTTGAGTATGCATTTAGGTTTGTTGAACATATTGCACTTAAGTAATAAAATAGTAATACGTCGATTCCCTCATTAAGATATATGACTGTTGTAAGCCTTTGATGATGGATATTATGTAGCCGTAGCCCTATGATAGCATTATGGTGGAAACTGCAACGTCCTGACAATGACCTTTGTTGGTGTTAGTCGCCCAGGCAGTAACATCAGGCAAATGCTTAACAACACATTTTTACACATACCCAATTCATCCAAGTGTTATCAGTTTTCATGTTCAGTTATCAATAGCTTGTTATTATAAATTGTTAATTACCTGAATCTTCCAATAACAGAATCGGGGGCCGGAGCATCGTTTGGTATGAATATAGGCGTTGGGGCAAAGATCCTTGGCATGACGGTATTTGGTGAAGCGGTGCCCTATGGGAGCGCCCATGTCTATGGAGAACTGGCCGTTGGATTCGTATTGTACGGCAAGCTGAGACTTGAGGGTTACCTGATGAATGTCCAGTTCCCGACAAGAGCAGAAATAGGATTTTCCAAGTTCCCTCTTGATTTGCGGTATTGTGCTGTGATGTTCATCCAGTAGATGACTATTTGATTGCTATCCATCAGAGCTGTACATAGACTTTGAAAACTGTTGTCATCGTGACTCATAACAAATGTTTTAGGGAGTCATTTTAAAGTTTTGTGAGTCATGAAAATATTTTGACAATAAAATGATTCGATTATGAATTCTAATTAAAGCAGTGGCTGCGAAAGTGTATTATTTAGCAGATTACCCTTTACAGTGAGAATACATAAATTGTTTATTGTATTTAGTGGATATGTTTGGATTCAGGGTACACTTATTTGGAAAACATATTGCGTCAGCTGTGACATATATAAAACAATTTTGGGGAAATTAATAATTGTTGAATCAAATACGCATTACCTTTTGTCCATGACGTCTAATGTGACTCGATATGACGTCAGATGTGTTGTTAGATCTCGTTAGATATAGGGATTTCGGGATGAGTAGAAATCACTTGTCGGAAAAAAGTCGACTCTTTGGGATTAAATACTTAAAATATATAAACTGTTTATTTAGGTTTCGTTGAGCGCTCTTTTGCTTGGACAAGGTTCAATGGGCGTTATGCAGACGGGTCATATATATCTTGGGCGTTATGCAGACGGGTCATATCTATCTTGAATGTTCCTGATTGCCAAGACGAATATGTAAAACTCGATTAATGCCTACAACGTTTATCGGTCGTCCAATATAGCAGGCAACGGGCATTCTACATTTGTGGGAGAATTTGTGTCCAATTCCAGGAAGCATTTATATTTACACGAAAACGTAAATTTTCAGACTGACAATGGATATGGATCTTATTCCGGTGATACTGGTACTGAAAGGGCTTGTGACAAAAGAAATCGGATTTCTCAAAGTTAAGAAAACATTGTACGAGGCTGAAATCTTCAGATATTCTGAACCTGTTATAAAGAAGAGACTTCTAGACACTGGCAAGAAAGAAGAAGACACATCTCCGCCAGAGTTTCTGGACTACGTGGACAAAAAACGTAAGGAACCATTCGTTGCAAAGCTTTCAGAAATACAAGACAGTTATTTCAACTCGCTGGGAGATAGCCATTTCGTTTATCCTGGAAATGGAAAGTCCTAAACCTTACGCCGAGGAGAAGAGGGAAGGGTGGGGACAAATTTAACAGCCAATTCTCGATCCTGTCACATTAATTGGTCCCCTTGGCTGAAACTGCCAGTCTTGGGATCACTGGGTCAGATGTTCCTCTTTGATGAAGAAATAGAACCAGCCATCCTTTGCTGGGGACGTAGCTGAAACCTTTCGTGGATCTGCCGTCTACAGTCGGTATTCATTGATAGCAAAATCAATCTCTGTTCTTTTTTTTGCCCAGTTGGGGCCATTAGTGGAACCCAACAGTTTTGTAAAATGTATATGATGCAATTGTGAGTGTAGAAATGTCTTTAGTCTTCATTATTTCTTACGACATCCGACCGCCTCCGTGGTGTAGTGGTTAGAGCGTCCGCCCGGAGAGCGAATGCACGTTTAATGACATTTGCATTAAAGCACATATGATACGCACGCGAACATTTACGTGACACTATGGATAATAAAATGGTATACAATATAATACGGCAAAACCTTTGATTCCATCAGGGAGGTTCTGGCAGACAGAAGAACAGTGTCTACATCACGGAGCTGCTTAGTGAGACAACTTCCCAATAGAGACTACACAGAACCGGCTGTAGAGATAGCCATAGCTGCCCAGGATGACCGGAGTCAGGTCCAGATCTTTGTGGATGCTGGGACCAAACCTGGACTCAGTGATGTGCTCAGTGGGGTAGTCCTTGGTGGACCATCAACAATCTTCACCCAGGTATGTCTGATTGGTACATTAATGTAAGCATAATATAATACTATTATCCGCATTGATCCGCAAATTGTTCGCTCATCACGCCGAAGACCCGGTTCGATTCCCGACATGGGTACAATGTGTGAAGCGATTTTCTAGAGTTTCCTGGAGAACTAAACTTACTCACTCACTCATTCGTAATGGTGGTACAAGTGGTTGTAGGTTTCCTTGTTTGGACTTTCTGTCCATATGACGATGTCATCTACATGAATACGAGATGGATTTTTATGAAAACCCTAAGTAATGATGAATACCTCTAGGGATATTATCAATCTGTGGTATTTGTGAGGATCGGTGTTAGGATAGGTAAACAGCAAGGCATATCTGTTGAAAGAGGCGACTAACGTGATCTGGTGCCCAGGCACGGTCATTTGGTTGATGCATGTGATGTCAATCACTGGATTGTCTGCATTATTCACAAACAGTGTCATAATGTTGGAATATTTCCGATTTATACTGCAAACCAACTTTTACAATATGAGGGGGGGCCTTTCTACAAATATGGAAAACGGTTGAGACTATGCATATTTGTCTTTGTAAATTTTGTTGTTTCAAACAACATTTTTAAAGCAGAGGACATTATACCTTCTTAGTTCTAAACCTTTTAAGATAAAAACAGATTTGGACACCGAATTTCAGGACATTGGAATTTGTTTGGTGTTTTTTACCACCTTCCTATTTGGTATTCGCTTGTATTTACTCGTGTTTGGACCCGATATTCCAGTGATTGACAGCAGTCAGGCAAGTCGCTACACCTATATGTTTACTCGTATGTTACGACCAGAATAGCATGCTGCGGACCAATTTTAATCTTTAAGGAATATACATCCAAATTGTTTAACACAATTTTACAAACTTACTTTGGGAAAATATCGTTTATCAGATTTTAATCGACACTTTGATTCCAGGAGGCTGTACTCTAAACATTTTACGAATGACAAAAAAAACCCTTTGACCTATTAAAAGTCGTAGTTTGGGGCAACATATAATATATGTTCGCTTTAGTATGTATAACAGTTGACAATTGATACATCTGTTGCAGCCATTTCACCAAAATAGTCACGGCGTTCCTGTTTACTTCACGGTGTATGGAGAGAACAGCGCAGGCGCGAGATCCACCGTGACTTGCGCAATCCCCACCTATGACGTCACGCCTCCTCTTGGCAGACTCACAGCGGACTATAGTTCAACCAGTAACCCAGCTGAGCTGAGAGGGAACGTTGTGGTTTATGAAGATTCCGATCTGATTAAATCCTCTGTGGGTGTCGGACTGGGAAGGGGAATCTATGCAGATGAAATAATAGCCTACAACTCTGTCATCCTCAGGGAAAGGCACACAACAGGCTATGACGGTAAGAAAAATGATAGATTCACATATATGTCTTTCTGACAGTTTTCAGTTTTAAGGGAACGAGAGCGTGTTTCACCTTTAGAAGTATATCAACCACTTCTGGGAGCTGCAGAAGTAAGGATGATATACTCAACGAAACGAATAAGGGAACACATGAAAGTGTTGCTTTACACTTTTCCAGGTTACGTCACAAGGTATGTATTGCACTGTGGGTGAAATTCTGGGAATAAATAAAGGAACACGTGTACTTTCATGTGTTCCCTATTCGTCTCCAAGAGTATATTATGTATCAGGCTTTGATCATCCTGTAATCAAACTGTTCATTGGCCAATAAGTCATCCACTACAAATACTATTTAATCTTGACTTGCAATAATTCATCTGAAAATGTAGATCATCAGCAACTCAAGAACTGTCTGAACTTCTGTGATATCGATATTCTTTTTACTTGCAATTTGTATCAATTAAAGCTATGAATATATTCCCAATTGTCTAGCTGCATCTGACATTACTGGCCATGAAGCGTTGAAACATTTCACGGGTCTCAAGGATGGTCGGCTGATTGGCCCAGTGTTTGCCGAGTTCTCCAGGATGAACCACGCCGGGTCGTGTGTGAAGGAGTGTATGAAGTTCCCGGAGACCAAATGTTTGAGCGTCAACTATGACTACGGGCCTAGTGGACATTGTGAACTGTTAGAAGGCATTGAAGGACGTGACCACAGAATCTTCATCGTAAGTTGAAGTTGTGAGTGAGTGAGTAAGTTTATTATTACTCCACACTCAGCTATATTCGGCGGTCTGTAAATAATCGTGTCTGGACCAGACAATACAGTGATCAGCAACGTGAGCATCGATATACGCAATTGGGATACGATAACATGTGTCAACCAGGTCAGCGAGTTTGACCACCCTATCCCGTTAGTCGCCTGTTACGACAGGCATGGGTCACTGAAAACCGGTTCTAACCGGGTCCTGCACGTGTGATATTTCTGTGCTACCTATACCAATCTACACAGATAGACACGTTAGTGAACGAAGCTTCACGTCAATATGATGCTGTAACTCATTGCTACATGTTTCCATAGATTAAAGACCATATTGATCTAGGAAATCACATAATTTCATGAGGGTGAAATAAACCCTGATGCGGGATTTCTTTAATTCCTCCTCGATGACATGAGTATCGGAGTAATGTCAGTGATGCAAGGCATAATAAATAGATATGACAATATTATGTTCTTTGTTAAAAATGTTTTTAGCAAATCGTGAACTAATAAAGTGACAATTTAAGGTTACCCGAGAAGACATGATGTTATCGAAATGGCTGAAATAACTAAAGTACAATTCACTATATTTGAAAATTGAGGCGATGTGGAAAAAACAATGTTTAAACAAGTGTGCACTGATTGGAATGATAGAAATCGCAGTGTTGCAGCATATAACACAATTCTTCATCTTTCCCCGTAGTCTGATCAGTATGCTCACTATGAGAGGCTTGGAGTTGGTCTTGCCCACGAGTTCATCTACAAGGATCTGTCTCTACGTCACGGGGCCATGTACTACTTCAACCTTCACCTTGTCAACAACCTCCAGTTTGAGGCCATGCTTCATAGCAAGGGAGTTCTGGTGGATGTAACGCCCCCCGAACCAGGTATTTGTTTCTTTAATTACATTAGATTTTCTATTCTATTGTTGTTTGTTCAGACAAACACCGCGGTGTCTAAGTTGCGGGGACCAAGGTAAACACTGAGTATTACCGATGTTAGACACAACCGCAAAACTTCAGAAAGAATACGCAAACAATAATCATTTGCTTCAAGCGAACCGTGCGTTCGACATATCAGAGTTTAACACAATGGTGTTTGATTGTATTTGGAAAATCCTGAAGAACAGAGATTGTGTCGCTTCCTCATATATGTGCGTGTGTGATCCTACACGCATCCGACTCTGTGTAACAATACATCCACGACCGCGGGTATGTGTAAAAGTGCTGACATAGTGATATTGGTCTGTCTTTTCAAACCTGCCATTATGGAATTCAACATGGAAGTACATGCTAGTGAATCATCTTCTCGATTTCCTCTTCCATTTCTGGTGTCCCCCGCCGTGATATTGCTGGAATATTGCTAAAAGCGGCGTAAAACTAAACTCAGTCAGTCAGTCAGTCTTCCCGAGAGCAAACCGCTGATGCGAAAATGCAAATCACCTCCGCGTTAGACAACATATCTTTGTTGTATCGGACACATTCATTGGCGTTTGTTGATGTATGTTGTTGTTAATATAGATGCGATGCAGGGTTGAGGAGCGGATATAATCTTGCAAAAATGCAAATCAATAAATATATATAAATGCTGCTAGCGACGGTAAATTATTCTTACTCACTCCCCGACTGACTCCCTTACCCATCACGGGCTGCAGATTTCGTCAGCTACTGAACATCCGTATGTGCTGAACATTAATGTGGATTTCACACATTAATCGCACATTAAAATCAAAGTTATGCACATACAACCACAAAGTGAGTGAGTGACTTTAGTTTTACGCCGCACTCAGCAATATTCCAGCTATATGGCGGCGGTCTGTAATTAATCGAGTCTGGACCAGACAATCCAGTGATCAACAGCATGAGAATCGATCTGCGCAATTGGGAACCGATGACATGTGTCCACCAAGTCAGCAAGACTGACCACCCGATGCTGTTAGTCGCCTAAGCCGGACCTACAGGGGTCAAAACTACAAAGTATATGGACAATTGTTGGTGATACACTTTACTGCTACATGTAAATGCGCACGTTTTTCGCCGCACGCACTTTTGTACTTTAATCATTGCTTCTCAACAAAACAATAGTTTCATGAGAAGATGTGAAACACCTGTACCATTCACTACTTTTCAGGTCAACTGGCAAACGTCATGCTGGATGTACTGGAGGTGAACACGTGTTCGCGGTTGGCTCCAAATGACAGGGTAGACTGGAAACTCAGGTGTCGAGGTGTCAATACACAGGTTCAAAACCACAGGTAAGCGACAGGTGTTGGAGTGACAGCAATTGCTCGTTCAAAGAGCTCGTGTTCACATGTAACCGCATAAATATCGTACTGCACAATCATGTTCATGAAATTTCGATTACTCAACGAGAGTGGTAAACGCATCGTGTACGTTGCCGAAGTTATATGTTTAAACTCATAGAGTTATAAATTCTTTAATAAGCGCCAATTATTATCCTAAATATATATATATATATATATTTATATATATATGTGTGTGTGTGTGTGTGTGTGTGTGTGCGTGCGTGCGTGCGTGCGTGTGCGTATGTATGCCACATATCGACATTTTGTTTTTTTACAGAATAATCCATGATGGTCCCGGTTCTAAGACAGTTTTCAATGGCGTCATACCGTTCACCGACCTTCTCTACACT